CCTGTCACCTTGCTCCTGTCACCCTGCTCCTGTCACCCTGCTCCTGTCACCCTGCTCCTGTCACCCTGCTCCTGTCACCCTGCTCCTGTCACCCTGCTCCTGTCACCCTGCTCCTGTCACTGTATATGTTGTGTATGTGTGTATATGTGCATGTAATAATAAAAATAATAATGATGAATCAGTTTTATGTCGTGCTCTTTTGGACAAAGACGCTTCACAGAACATTACTCAGCATTATTCATACACACACACACACACACACATCACTTTTATACTGTGTGTATATATGTGTGCATGAGTGTGTGTATGGGTGTGTGTGTGTGTGTGTGTGTACGTGTGTGTGTGTGTGTGTGTGTATGTATGTGTGTGTATGTATGTGTGTGTGTGTGTGTGTGTGTGTGTGTACGTGTGTGTGTGTGTGTGTGTGTGTGTGTGTGTGTGTGTGTATGTACGTGTGTGTGTGTGTGTGTGTGTGTGTGTGTATGTGTGTGTGTGTGTGTGTGTGTGTGTGTAGTGTGTGTGTGTGTGTGTGTGTGTGTGTATGTGTGTGTGTGTACGTGTGTGTGTGTGTATGTATGTGTGTGTATGTATGTGTGTGTGTGTTGTGCAGCTGCAGCTGATTCTGGGTCAGATCTGATGTGAATAATGCATGATGGGAAATGTAGTGAAGCTTCATTTCCTCTGAGACGTTCAGACTCATTCAGATTTAACTCCACACTCGCCTCCGGATACAAATACTACAAATACTACTACAAATAATACTACAAATACTACTATGAATACTACAAATACTACTACAAATACTACAAATAATACTACAAATACTATTATGAATACTATTACAAATACTACAAATAATACTACAAATATTACAAATACTACCACAAATGCTACTATGAATACTACAAATAATACTGGAAATACGACTAGAAATACTACGAATACTACCACTACTAATATTATTATGGCTAGTACTGCCAATACTCCTACAATACTACTACGAGCACTACATCACACTCGTTGTGCGTCACACTAATGAAACATCAGGTTTGTCCAGTTGTGTTCAGCTTTGTGTTGTGTTTTTGTAGATTTATGGAGAATTGTTGTGTGGGAGCATGTGGGCGGAGCCTCGTACAGACTCGTACTGTGGGAGCATGGGGGCGGGGCCTCGTACAGACTCGTACAGTAGGAGTATGAGTGATGTAGGCTTGTGGGTGGAGCCTCGTACAGACTCGTACATGTCAGAGTTCTTGGTGTTTGTGATGAGGAACAGTGGGACCCGGGAGGAGCTCAGACACTGGGGGGTCTAATGATGTCACAGGAACAACACCCAACCACCAATCAGCTCTTACCTCATGCAGGGGGCGGGGCTTCGAGCATGCAGGGGGCGGGGCTTCACATGTAACAGTGACATCACTGGATAAACTGAAAACGGGAGCATGCAGCGTCCACAGCAACAGCGACATGCAAAAGTCCAGAGTGAAGCTTTAACGCACAAACACACAGATACACACAGATACACAAAGATACACACACATACACACAGATACACAAAGATACACACAGATACACACACACACAGATACAGATACACCCACAGACACACAAATACAGTAGCAGTAATAGTAGTATTTGCCGCATTTGCAGTAGTAGTAGTACAGTAGGAGTTGTAGTAGTAGTAGTAGTATTTGCAGTAGTAGTAGTAGTAGCAGTAGTAGTAGTAGTAGTAGTAGTAGGAGTATTTGCAGTAGTAGTAGTAGTAGTAGTAGTAGTAGTAGTAGTAGTATTTGCAGTAGTAGTAGTAGTATTTGCAGTAGTAGTAGTAGTATTTGCACAAGTAGTAGTAGTAGTATTTGCAGTTGTAGTAGCAGTACTAGCAGTATTTGCAGTAGTAGTAGTAGTATTTGCAGTAGTAGTAGTAGTAGTAGTATTTGCAGTAGTAGTAGTAGTATTTGCAGTAGTAGTAGTAGTAGCAGTAGTAGTTTGCAGTAGTAGTAGTAGTAGTAGTAGCAGTAGTAGTAGTAGTAGTAGTAGTAGTTGCAGTAGTAGTAGTAGTAGTAGTAGTAGTAGTAGTAGTGCAGTAGTAGTAGTAGTAGTAGTAGTAGTAGTAGCAGTAGTAGTAGTAGTAGTAGTAGTTAGTAGTAGTAGCAGTAGTAGTAGTAGTAGTAGTAGTAGTAGTAGTATTTGCAGTAGTAGTAGTAGTAGTAGTAGTAGTAGTAGTAGTTAGTAGCAGCAGTAGTAGTAGTAGTAGTAGTAGCGTAGTAGTAGTAGTAGTAGTACAGTAGTAGTAGTAGTAGTAGTAGTAGTAGTAGTAGTAGTAGTAGTAGTAGTAGTAGTAGTAGTAGTAGTAGTAGCAGTAGTAGTAGTAGTAGTAGTAGTAGCAGTAGTAGTAGTAGTAGTAGTAGTAGTAGTAGTAGTAGTAGTAGTAGTAGCAGTAGTAGTAGTAGTACCAGTAGTAGTAGTAGTAGTAGTAGTAGTAGTAGTAGTAGTAGTAGTAGTAGTAGTAGTACCATAGTAGTAGTAGTAGTAGTAGCAGTAGTAGTAGTAGTAGTAGTAGTAGTAGTAGTAGTAGCAGTAGTAGCCAGTAGTAGTAGTAGTAGTAGTAGTAGTAGTAGTAGCCAGTAGTAGTAGTAGTAGTAGTAGTAGTAGTAGTAGTAGTAGTAGTAGTAGTAGCAGTAGTAGTAGTAGTAGTAGTAGTAGTAGTAGTAGTAGTAGCAGTGTAGTAGTAGTAGCAGTAGTAGTAGTAGTAGTAGTAGTAGTAGTAGTAGTAGTAGTAGTAGTAGTAGCAGTAGTAGTAGTAGTAGTAGTAGTAGTAGTAGTAGTAGTAGTAGCAGTAGTAGTAGTAGTAGTAGTAGTAGTAGTAGTAGTAGTAGCAGTAGTAGCAGCAGTAGTAGTAGTAGTAGTAGTAGTAGTAGTAGTAGTAGTAGTAGTAGTAGTAGTAGTAGTAGTAGTAGTAGTAGTAGTAGTAGTAGTAGTAGTAGTAGTAGTAGTAGTAGCAGTAGTAGTAGTAGTAGTAGTAGTAGTAGTAGTAGTAGTAGTAGCAGTAGTAGTAGTAGTAGTAGTAGTAGTAGTAGCAGTAGTAGTAGCTAGTAGTAGTAGTAGTAGTAGTAGTAGTAGTAGTAGTAGTAGTAGCAGTAGTAGTAGTAGCAGTAGTAGTAGCAGTAGTAGTAGTAGCAGTAGTAGTAGTAGTAGTAGTAGTAGTAGTAGTAGTAGTAGTAGTAGTAGTAGTAGTAGTAGTAGTAGTAGTAGTAGTAGTAGTAGTAGTAGCAGTAGTAGTAGCAGTAGTAGCAGTAGTAGTAGTAGTAGTAGTAGTAGTAGTAGTAGTAGTAGTAGTAGTAGTAGTAGTAGTAGTAGTAGTAGTAGTAGTAGTAGTAGCAGTAGTAGTAGTAGCAGTAGTAGTAGTAGTAGTAGTAGTAGTAGTAGCGTAGTAGTAGTAGTAGTAGTAGCAGTAGTAGTAGTAGTAGTAGTAGTAGTAGTAGTAGTAGTAGTAGTAGTAGTAGTAGTAGTAGTAGTAGTAGTAGTAGTAGTAGTAGTAGTAGTAGTAGTAGTAGTAGTAGTAGTAGTAGTAGTAGTAGTAGTAGTAGTAGTAGTAGTAGTAGTAGTAGTAGTAGTAGTAGTAGTAGCAGTAGTAGTAGTAGTAGTAGTAGTAGTAGTAGTAGTAGTAGTAGTAGTAGCAGTAGTAGTAGTAGTAGTAGTAGTAGTAGTAGTAGTAGTAGTAGTAGTAGTAGTAGTAGTAGTAGTAGTAGTAGTAGTAATAGTAGTACTCACTCTCGTCGGGGTTGGGTGCAGCGAGGATGGCACTGTGCTGCTTCTTCACCTGCTCCACGTCCTCAGACAGTTTCTCTATACAGCCCCTGATCTCCTCCACCTGAAACACACAGTACTACAAGTACTACAAGTACTAGTACTACAGTACAAATACTGTTGAGTCTATACAGCCCCTGATCCCCTCCACCTGAAACACACACACTACTACAGTACTGTAGTACTGTAGTACTGTAGTGCTGTTGAGTGTTTGTGTCAGGAGTGTTTGTGACCCCTGACCCTTGACCCCTGTGCTGTCTGGTGTTGGGGTCGTGGGTCAAAGGTCGTGGCTCGTGTTTCTTGTTTGTTTAAATGAAGATGTGGAAATGTTCACGGTCGACACCAAACTCCACCAACTCTGACTCCACCGACTCTGACTCCACCGACTCCGACTCCACCGACTCCGACTCCACCGACTCTGACTCCTTCGACTCCACCGACTCCGACTCCACCGACTCTGACTCTACAGACTCCGACTCCACCGACTCTGACTCCACCGACTCTGACTCCACCGACTCCACCGACTCCGACTCCACCGACTCTGACTCCACCGACTCTGACTCTACAGACTCCGACTCCACAGACTCTGACTCCACAGACTCCGACTCCACAGACTCTGACTCCACAGACTCTGACTCCACCGACTCCACCGACTCCGACTCCGACTCCACCGACTCCGACTCCACCGACTCCGACTCCACCGACTCCGACTCCACAGACTCTGACTCCACAGACTCTGACTCTACAGACTCCGACTCCACAGACTCTGACTCCACCGACTCCACCGACTCTGACTCCACCGACTCCACAGACTCTGACTCCACAGACTCTGACTCCACCGACTCCACCGACTCTGACTCCACCGACTCCACAGACTCTGACTCCACTGACTCCTCCGACTCCACCGACTCCGACTCCACCGACTCCGACTCCACCAACTCCGACTCCACCGACTCTGACTCTACAGACTCCGACTTCACCAACTCTGACTCCACCGACTCCGACTCCACCGACACCGACTCCACAGACTCTGACTCCACAGACTCTGACTCTACAGACTCCGACTCCACCAACTCCGACTTCACCGACTCCGACTCCACCGACTCCGACTCCTCCGACTCCGACTCCACCGACTCCACCGACTCCGACTCCTCCGACTCCGACTCCACCGACTCCACAGACTCCACAGACTCTGACTCTACAGACTCCGACTCCACCGACTCTGACTCCACAGACTCTGACTCCACCGACTCTGACTCCACCAACTCTGACTCCACCAACTCTGACTCCACCAACTCTGACTCCACCGACTCTGACTCCACAGACTCTGACTCCACCGACTCTGACTCCACCGACTCTGACTCCATCGACTCTGACTCCACCGACTCTGACTCCACCGACTCCGACTTTACAGACTCTGACTCCACCGACTCTGACTCCATCGACTCTGACTCTACAGACTCTGACTCTACAGACTCTGACTCCACCGACTCTGACTCCAGGTCAGTTTGTGTGGAAAACCCTCACCCCTCTCTGACCTTTGACCCCTGAACCCGCCCTAAACGAACCCTCCGACAGAACCAACTGAACCAACAGAACCGACAGAACCAACAGAACCGACAGAACCAACAGAACCCTGCAAACTCTCAGATTTAACCCATGTTGTGTTGTTGTGTTGTTGTGTTGTTCTGTTGTTCTGTTGTTGTGTTGTTGTGTTGTTGTGTTGTTCTGTTGTTGTGTTGTTGTGTTGTTGTTTTCACACTCAGAGCTGTTCCTTGTGTTTGTTTGTTTGTTTGTTTGTTTATTCTGAGTCTGTTACATCTGCAAACCTCCAAACGCTCTGTTCCACCTTGTGATGTCATCAAGTTCTCAGCTCCTTTTCTCTTTAGTTCAGTCGAGATCAAAACTCCACGACTGAAATGATCCACATGATTCTAGTGAAGGTGTGTGGAGTTTAAAAACACAGTGGAGCATCACCACATGATGACATCACAGGGTGGAACAGAGTGTTTTCTGGTGTTAAATGTGCAGGGGTCACGTCGGGGTCACGTCGGGGTCATGTGACTGACCTGCTCGAAGAACTCGTCCATGAAGTGGTCCCTGTCGACCTGCACCACCTCCTCGTCATCATCGCTGTCCTTCGCCTGAAACAGAGACAGGGTCAGAGGTCAGAGAGTCACAGGGGTCAGAGGTCAGAGAGTCACAGGGGTCAGAGGTCAGAGAGTCACAGGGGTCAGAGGTCAGAGAGTCACAGGGGTCAGAGGTCAGAGAGTCACAGGGGTCACAGGGGTCAAACATCAACATTAACCTTTTACAGCCCGACGAGATCGAACACGAAAACCGGAAAAACGTTTACAGACCCGCGCAGAACTTTCAAAAAACCCGAAACCCGACTTTTCCCCTGAAAATGTGACAGTCGTGTTTTTTTTCCCGTCAGATTTATTTCTTCTCCTGCGTCTCTCGCTGCGACGACGTCGGGAAAACGAGTGTCCAGCAGGAGTTTTGTTTTGGTCCAGAGTCAGTGGCTCCGTCCGTTTTGATTGGACCAAACTTTACCAGAGTGTGTCGAGTCTAAACGGTCGACGTTCTGAGTAGAGTCTGACCGATATGGATTTTGCTGTGGCCGATATGAAACCGATATAATGGGAGTTGGAGCTGCCGATATAATCACCGATATATTTAGTGATGTAAAAATTCACTGTAAATGTTGAATTGTTTAAAAAACTTAGGTTTGTCTCTGGTGGATTTTAAATTGGGTTTATTTAGGAAACATTTATTGTTCTTCTGACTCTTTACATCATATTTACAGACAGTAGGTTGGTTTAATGGCATTTTTGCATCACATTCTAGACACTAGTGATGTTTATTCCAGTTCTTTTTAGAGAACCGGCTCTTTTGGCTCGGCTCACTAAAAGCTGCTGGTTCTTTTGGCTCCCAAGTGGCTCTTCAGATTGTTTTGTTGCAAGCAGGACTAAAGCAGGTCTAAAGCAGGACTGAATCAGGACTGAACCAGGTCTAAACCAGGACTGAAAAAGGACTAAACCAGGTCTAAACCAGGTCTAAACCAGAACTGAACCAGGACTGAACCAGGTCTAAACCAGGACTGAAAAAGGACTAAACCAGGACTAAAAGAGATCTAGACCACGTGTAAAACAGGACTAAACCAGAACTGAACCAGGACTGAGTGTCGGGACTCGGTCTCTATCTCGTGCCCAAGATTAGTCCTGGTTTATTTATTTTATACTAAACTACAGCCAAATATTCAAGTTTTTTTTTATCCTATGTACACACAAATTTCTCAAAGTTTCGTTTTCAGCCGCTGCCGCTGTCAAACCACGAGTCTGCAGGCGGCGTGAAGAGAAAAAAAGTGAGAAAAAGAAAACACGGCTCCTAATAAGGATCAGGCTCCCGTCGTTCGCTTCAAAGAGTCGGATCGAAGAGCCATTTCATTCGCGACCGACCCATAACTAGCGCTATTAGCCTTTAGCCGTAAATGCTGCGCACCGTGGTAATTAATTATATGTGCAAATGTCATAATTCACACGTCTGTTCACAGCTCATTTACACAATGCAGCTCCAGTCACAAATATACGACCAATACAGTCACTTTACAACAGACCAACAGAAAACAGCCTGTTTATGTGCAGCAGCTAAGCCATAACAAATGACCAAAACTAGCTTCAAAGTCGACATGCTTCAACACTCAGCCTCACACAGGCTCCTCCCACATCACACAGGCTCCTCCCACATCACACAGGCTCCTCCCACATCACACAGGCTCCTCCCACATCACAAGTCTGAACTAATAAATGTCCTTTTAATCCAGACTCAAACTGATTGTCCGTAAAAAGAAAATAATCTCAGTGTTTGATCTGTGTGTGAGTGTAAACAAACACACGTGTGTGACGTGACTCTGTGGTGTGTTCAGGGACAGTACGGACACACACACACACACACACACACACACAAACACGCACACACACAGACAAATGACTCCGCAGATAAATACTGATGTGGAGTCACATATTTGGACATTTATCTGTCTGTGAACTGGATTAAATGAACAGAATGTAGAGAGTCTAAGATTTTTAACGACATATCACATGCCCACGTGAAATATCGGCCCCTATCAGCAAACATATCGACCAATAGCCGATATGCCTCCAGGTGCCCATATCGGCCGATAATATCGGCCAACCGATATATCAGTCAGGCTCTAGTTCTGAGCGTCTGTGTCAGAACAAGTGAAAAAGTCCAAACTCCAAGTGCAGATTCTCACATAAATGAACAAATGACACGTCTCGGTCCTTTGCTGTTTTTATGTTCAGGTTTATTTGAGTCCAAATGTCCAAATCCAAATGTAATAAACTCATGGAAACACAGAAGTGATGTGGCTCTGTCTCCGTTCAGTCTGCAGGTTTAACGCTCAATTCAGATTTTTTTGTGAAATCTGATGTTTTTTCGAGGTCGTTCACATTTCCAGTTAAATGTGACTTGTATGTGACTCCAGTGTGAACATTAAACGGTCCAAAAGTGTCCCACATGTGACACTGGAGACACGACGACGTCAACCGCAGCGAGCGTCTCTGTGTTTACACAAGTTGAACAAACATGGACGCAGCATCGAGCACCTGGAGATTTTAAAGTTCCTCTCGTACCGGAGCCACAACATGAACAACTGACTTGTTTTAAGGAGGAGATTGAGAAGGAGAAGGACCAGGTTTTTGGTGGTGGTGTTTTGTGTAGTGCGACCAAACGTCCGTTTTTCCCCAGACATGGCTGTATTTTGCGTCCTGTCTGGGGCATCCGTTTTTTTTTTTAAAGTGATGCAAATGTCCAGGTTTTCATTTCCGTTCATTGGGGACATTAAACTGAGCGTCTCTCGTCTGTGACTCAGAAGGAGCGAGACACAAACAGTCGGTCAGTCTGAAACACACTGAAACACAAAAGAACATTTAACAACGACTTGGACAAGAAATTGTCAGTTTTCCGTCCCGGTCGGGACAAGTGTGAGTCCATGTGCACAGGTTGAGGTGAGAGTTCAGTGTCCCTCGTTTATCGTGGGGGTTATGTTCTAAAAATAACCTGCGATAGTTGAAATCCACGAAGTATCAACTTTATATTTTACAATTATTCTATCTGTTTTAAGTCTGTAAAACCTCAACACAAACTTTATACACTTTTCTCCGACAGGATCGACAGGTGCAACACTTTTTACTTCCTTCTTCAAACTTGTTGCTGCTGTCGTCCTTTTGTTATTTTCCTCCTTCTTTATGTAACAAACTGAACATTCATTTATTCCATAATGGAGCCGACAGAGTAGAGTCCAGTACAGGACCACACCTGCCAGGACAGGACCACACCTGCCAGTACAGGACCGCACCCGCCAGGACAGGACCACACCCGCCAGGACAGGACCGCATCCGCCAGGACAGGACCGCACCTGCCCGTTAACCAGAGATTATATCAAACTTTTGAGCTGCCTACACCACAGACTGAACCAAGACTAAACCAGGACTAAACCAGGACTGATTCCAGGACTGAAGAGGAGGACTAATCCACGACTGAACTCGGACTAAAACAGAACGCCGCAATTGCCCGATCGCGCTTTGTGGTCAAACTGCTCGGCGTTTTCTCTCTTAAATCCAAGATTAGTCCTGGTTTTCACAAACGGAAATATGGTCCCTAGTTTTGTGGTTCAGTCCGTTGAAAGGAACGTGTGGATGTGGAGACGGAGCCAAGAGTGGAGATGTGCTTCACTTCAGTCACATGGATCATGAACAGTTTTCTCTACTTCAGTGCAGAATAGTGACGTTTGTGTCTTGTTGATGACGTGTAGGTGGATGAATGTGACCTGACTGTTCACACTCAAGTCACATGTTAAAGATCAGATATGGATCAGTTTCAGGAGCACAGATCCAAGTGTGAAAACATCACATCTGTGTGGTTCATTAAAAGATCAAATACAGGAACACAGAGACAAAAAATCAGATTTGGGTCACTTCAGGTGCATCTGAACACAGCCTCTGTGACCTGGACCTGACTCCAGCTGTTTCCACGACCTGCACCAGTCAAGTCATGGGGACATTGACCTTTTTTTATTTTTGTTTTGAAACAATAAGGAGATTTTTGAGTTTTGATTTTGATATTTTGCACTTTTGCAGCTAAGACCTGAAATTAAACATTTTTCTGTCCAAAAAGTCTTTACATGTTTGTGTGAGTTTTTTTTTTTTTCATGTTTATTTCTGGTCCAGTAGTTTTTCTTAGAGCCACACGACACGAGTCCAGCAGCAGATTTGTGTTGAAAAAAAAAAAAAGAACACTTCATTAGGGGTTTAAACACAAAGTTAAGAAAAAAATCCAGACGAGGACAAATGATCTAAACCTGTTCTCAGGTCTGAAGCAGAAGAACAGACGGAGAAACATCTGAGGAGAACAGTTAAACCTCTAGAACACGGAGAACGAGCTTCTCATTGTAAACTTTTCTTCTTCAGACGCTGAACTCTGGAGCAAAACTTTGGGACTTTTATCAAGAATTAAAATAAAAATAAACCTGGTTATAAAAATAAACCATAGACCTGGTTCAGATCTGGTTCAGACTTGGTCTAGTCTTGTTTTTGAGTCTTATTTCTGTGACTAATGTGCGTTACATAAGTGTGAGTGAAGAGGAGGATCTTTTCACAATAAAACCACATCAGGTTTTTATTTTGAAATCTGACCAAAGACCAAAGACCACAGACGAGAGACCAGACCAGAGACCAGAGACCAGACCAAAGACCAGACCAAACCAAAGACCAGACCAGAGACCAGACCAAAGACCAGACCAACCAGACCAGACCAGACCAGACCAAAGACCAGACCAAAGACCAGACCAAAGACCAGACCAGACCAGACCAGACCAGACCAGAGACCAGACCAAAGACCAGACCAGACCAGAAAGACCAGACCAGACCAGACCAGACCAGACCAGACCAGACCAGAAGACCAGACCAGACCAAAGACCAGACCAAAGACCAGACAGACCAAAGACCAGAGACCAGACCAGACCAGACCAAAGACCAGACCAACCAGACCAGACCAGACCAGACCAAGAGACCAGACCAGACCAGACCAGACCAGAAGACCAGACCAAAGACCAAAGACC